AACTAACAGACTGGTATCACAAAAGAAGTAAAGACAAATAAGATAATGCGATGAATATAAATATGTAGGCACCGTTATATCTTACAAACGTCTATTTATCTAAAAGAGTATATTTGTTCTGAATTCTTTACTTTTTTCCAATCGAATCTCCATTAAAAACAAAATTGACAATCTACAGAAAAATTGTAGAATCAATACTGTCATACGGATCAAAATGCTGGCACATGAAACGCAGTAGAAATGTATTATCTCCGAAGAACGTGTCAAATATCCAACCTATAATATAGCACATACCGAATAATGAAATTGAACAGAAGAATTGAAAGAATGGGGACAAGAGAATTGATGTGGTTTGGGCACATGGAGCGCATGGAAGAGCACAGATTGCCAAGAAAAGTTTCGACTACACTCCATCAAATAAAAGAAAATGAAGAAAACCACCAACTAAATAGTTATGGCTGCAGATATTCTATATATACATATAATATATATTCTATATATTCATTCATTCTATATATTTTTTATAGTACAAATTTATCACTTGTACAAACCGTAAATATGATTTTATAATATTGAAATATATCTATTTTATAGTTTTAAATATTATTATAAATAAATATAAATATTTTACCTTTGAACTTCCATGATATTAGAATCTTAGATATAAATAAACACTTTCTTAGAAAATAGTGAATATGAGAAAAGAACACCATAGACCAAACAAAATTACAAAAGTGAATGCCAAAGCCAACACTTAAGCCAATATTTAAACAATTAAAATGAAATAGACAGTAAACCATTTATAAACAAAAAGGTACTTCTGTGATTCACTCATTATTGCAACTATTAAACTGTTTGGCTGGCAAAACATTCTCCTTTTCAAGTTATTAATAACTATTCAAAGCAACATATTATGTATCACAGTCACAGATTACTTGCATTTTGAAGTACTTATAACATAATATAGTTGAAGTTAAAAAATATGCATATTTTTAATTTTATGTCTATCATTTTGTTGTTAATTTTTGTAATGTTTACATCTACTATAATATAAATGGTTTATCAGATATGGTGTGGTTGAATCAAGCATTACAAAATAAATAAAAGATAATAATATGATTAAATGATAAATATCAATGGCGAGGCTGCAAAATTTTTAAAATATTTTCAAAAATAAATAAACAAAATTTTAAAATAAAGAAATCTAATTTAAGAGTTGAAATAGTTAGACAGGAAATCCACATCACATAGCTTATTCTGTATGTTTTATAAAACTGACTAAACCAGAGATGTAAACCACTTTTACCGTTACATGAATCAATATTCATTCTCAATCTGTGAGTGTTAGCCACTCACAGTGTGAGTGGCTAACACTCACACTGTTTCCTCCAGAGGTATTTCTCACTTCCTCTACTACTCTCTGTAGACAGTCGCAATGGCAGAAGCTTATCAGATACAGAGGCCACTGTCATGTTCTCTTTACTAATGAATGACTTGTCCTCAGCAAACTAAGCTGAATTGAGACAAAGGTTAAAAAGTGTCATGTCTTCTAAATGGAACAATTATTAGCTGAACTATTTGTTCTATCATATCCACCTAATATACCCCGATTATTACCAGTTAATCCAGTCCACTTAACCCATAAATGCTTATTATTGAGGAGAAGGTCCCTTCTCAACCAGCTCCACCCAATCTATGTAAGTATAGAATTGAGCACATTTCCTCAAGCATTTGGAACAACACAAATTTTGCCAAATCATCAAAACCAACAATCACCTATTAACAAAGTATAAATCTCTTAAAGTCTTAAATTGATAAAGTAAATTTTAACATGTATTGTCCCATCAACAGCAGCAAATCTGATCTGGAAGCAGTGTAGGTCTAGGCCCATTCTCAAAAACCTACAACCTAATCTTCATCTAGTCATCACCTTAAAGATCTGTTTCAAAATAGTCGAGGCTATAACAGCCCAATCTAGTAACATCTCTACAAATTTTATACGAACTTTCACACACTGCGAAAACCAAATTCACCAAGATACTTCCTAGTGGTATTATAAGAAATAAAGTGATCCCTAAATCTAACGACGTGATACCAAGTCGTCCAGAAAACTGCTAGAGATGCAGTCAAAGCGAACATCTCAACACTGACTGTCCACAAAATGTCACAATCTGCTCCAACTATGAAGAGATCCTTCCAGATGTCCCACCAGAAATTTTTCTAGATGTCCTAACTGTCAAGAAAATCATTATATCTTTTCTTCCATGTATTCCATTATATCTATTCTTCTTATAAATGGGGTTATCACTATGAAATAATAATAAATAATAATTTCAACCAAAAGAAGTCTCAATAAAAGCATTTTTATTTACATAATGACTTAGTAGTAGAGTAAATTTTTATTTGCATAAATTTTTTAACATACCACCTTCTCAAATGCCTCAAAATCTATGGGCCTGCAAGTAAATGAGGAGAAAACTAAGATGATGGCATCAACACCCAACAATAGAGTCAGGAACATCGGTCCCCAATTCACACTTGATAACTCTACCTTTGAAGTGGTGGACAAATTCACATACTTAGGCTCCCTGATCACCAAAGAGAACGCCATAAAGGAAGAAATCAAGCAAAGGATAATAACGGCAAACAGATGCTATTTTGGACTGAGTAGACATATGAGAAATAGAAACTTAAGCCTATTTGAATGAAGGAACCTGAGAGGAATATTTGGTGGCATCTGTGAAAATGGTGTTTGGAGGAGGAGATACAAATACGAGGTATTCCACAGAGATAAACAAATATTTGGTGGTAAAGATGTAGTATCTCTTATAAGAATAGGAAGTCTGAGATGGGCAGGACATCTAGCAAGATCACAGCAGAACAACCCTCCTAGAAGAATCCTTATGTCTCAACCGTGGGAAGTAGAAAAATGGGTAGGCCAAAACTCAGATGGAAGGATGGTGTAGATGAGGATGGTAGAAAGATAGGCGCAGCAAACTGGCAACGGTTGGCAATGGATAGGACTGCCTGGCGTAATAGACTTGGGAAGGTCGAGCCTCTTTCATAGGGCTGTAGCAAATTGATTGATAATGATGAAATTTTTTAACATTTGCATAAATTTTTTAACATAATTGAGAAAGTAATGTCACATTATTAATCACAGATAAAAAAGATGTATATTAACATCACAGATCAAAATATATTAACATTAGAAATTAAATAGGCTGATCAAAGAGGTAGATAGGCAGGCACTCCTCCACAGTATAGGCCCAATGATCTTAAATCATCTTGCAATTTGACTGCATCAAAAGTTTAAAATGATTGGCATACATTAAGCTGTTACAAGATTTAATACAGTCTGGAAAGTGATTAATAAATAAAATAAGAGCAATGGTTCTAGTTTGCTCCCCTGTGGGACTCCTCAGGATGACACATATTGGTTAGAACAGCAATTACCTACTTTTACTGTATTCTTTCTATTTGACAAATAATATTTTAATAAATTAAAAGCTTTTCTTGAGAAACCAAACTGTACCAGTTTATTTAAAAGAATAGAGTGATTTACCTTATCAAAATATACAGAATGTCCAACTGTTCACTTGCCTCAATAGCCTTAGCAATATGTTCAGAGAGAACATAGAGATTAGTTACTGTAGATTTGTCTCTTACAAAACCATGCTGGAACATGCTGATTTTACTCTTAACATGCTCATATATATCATCATAAAGAATACTTTCAAAAGTCAGCTGTATCTTACACTGATGCAAAATATTTAGCAAAGGCACTCGCAATATCAGAAGGTGTATTAAACTTGGAGTTGTTTAATGGCATTTCTATGGAAATACCACTATTCTTATATTTTTACTTACAGAAAGTCCAGAATTTGTTTGGGTCATTAAGTAGATGGTTTTCAAGTGAATGTTTGTATAAGTTATGCCCATATTTGGTTTGGTTTTTAATATCAGTTCTTAAAAGCTGAAATTTAACACTCTTTGGGCTCTCTGAAGCTTTATTTAAACACAAATGATGCAGACTATTTTTCTTTTTAATTTTATGGATCAAATCTTGAGAGAACCAGTTTGGAAATCTAGAAGTCGAGTTGTTGGCCCTTTTTTTTGGCTTAAGGAATAGAACAATTTAAAAAGGTGTCTTAAAAAATACCTCACAAACTGTGAATATGTTCAAACAGTACATAGTGAATCAGTATTGTGTTTTTATGTTTTTATAGGTACCAGATATATTGAGAGCTTTGTCTTATTTCTTTCAATTTGCACGAAAATTGTCAACAGAACAAGAGAATTGAAGGTATACTAAAAAATATGGACAGCATTAGAAGAGAAGAAACAATTTAGATAACATATATTTGGTTATTAGAATTATTTTGTTTCTCATTCCTATAGAATTAGAAATAGAATTATCATAGTGGGATATGCCAGATGAAGATAAGAAGTATTTTAGTATCTGTCCACGGACAGTCTGTTATTGCTCAATAACAGACACACTAGAGAGCACTAGTACTTAGTACACCATGGAAATATGAAAGAGAGTAAGTGACTGATAACTGACATACTAACAAACTACTGACATAAAAATGTCAATTTCATATTAAATAAAGTCAGAAAATGGAATTTGCAACAGTTCAATCTTTGAAATGTTGCGTATTGTTCCTAAGCACTACTGAAAGAGGAAGGAATACAGTAAACCTGTGTGCAAATGGTCGCTATATCTATTTAACACGAGATCAAATTCTATAATAGAAATATTATATGATTCTGCTATAAATTTTTATATAAAATATGGGTTTTAGTGTTATAGTGTTGTGTAATATAATTCCAGACGATGTACCAAATTATTCTAAAACTTTGCCAGCCAAAGACAAAGGATGAGTAGTAAAAATGATACTACTTTTGACGTTTAGGCCTACTGGTTGGAAACTAGAGGCTTCAAATGATTCCTTCACTAATTCAGGTTAATTTATTAATCTAAAAGAGTAACTTACTTGTCACTATCTTCAGTTTTCAATCGCTTGGGGCTGGGCTCCCTAACTGGAGGCACACTAAGATTTTCATCAACATTTAGATGTTTCTTTTTCTGATTTCGATCATATTCATTTAATTTAACAATATCTATTAAGGCCGCCATTTTTTTCTTTTTATTTTCCAAACGAAATTTTCTTTTTGAAGAGCCTGTCATACTTTTGCCATACCAGTAACTGAAAAAACAAAATTGTCAAAATGAGTGAAACAATTTCTAAATCATGACATTAGGTATTACCTTATTGTAATGAAAATTAAATATTTGATTAAAATTGCAATCGATACATTTAATATAATTTTTAAAAAATTTACTAGCATACTCTTGTTTTGAAGATTAATTTGTAGTGACAGAAACTAAATAGGTTATAAAAAAACGAGATGAAAGCAAAATAAATGTCTTTACCTGATTCATGGCAATTCTGACATCTATTTAACAACAAATAATTATTAATTTTTTGCAATTGCAGTATTATTATTATTATCGTAATAATTCAAAACTTTTGAAGCATGAATGTATAAAATTTAATTCACGTTTTTTTATACACAATACACATGGGAACTATTGATAAATTAAGAAAAACCAGACATTTCAGTGTTGTCCTTACAGTGTTGCCGATGAACTGTCAATTGGAATTTTAAAGACATTGTTTTAAAGGAAGCGTAAGAATGATGTCAAATTTTATTAAGTTTAGAATATTAAGAGACATAAATATAAGTGTTTAAGGTAAGCTAATTACTTAACGCACTTATACAAAAAATAAGTGTTATGACGGAGGGCTGAACATGGCTGAATAGTTTGGTAATCATGCATTTATTTTGACATAATATAATTTATGTTGTGTTGTGAAGTTAGCTAAATTTATATTGCAAAAAAATATTATGTTAGGTTAAAAATTTGTGATATAAAAAATGTCTGAAAATAAACAATTTACACTAAAATCTGCAAATGCCGATTTTGCGTTACGACAGAAAAATGTATTCGATCAACTTTTGGTGTTAGAACCTAATCGTAAACCAACCAAATCTGATGACACAGAAATGGATGTTGATGAGGATGATGTTCATTCAAAAGTATCAAGTCCAAAAGAACAGAGAGCTATTACAAGAAAGTTACGAGGAAAAGAGAGTATATTTAAAAAACCTCAAAACCCTGTATCCAAAAATTACATGAAGAAAATTCCTGACTTTAAGAAAAATCCACATAAATGGACAAGATATTCTTTGGAAGATGTGAATGATGAAGACATGTCTGATAAAAGCAACACAAAAACAGCTCTATCATTTTTAGAAGAACTGAAGGAGAGGAAAATCTCTGAGGTGCCTTCAGATGATTCAGAAAAAGATGTACCCCAAAAAATTGTTTTCAAAAAGCAAAGAAGACATGAATCTAATCCAGAGGTTAAAGAGGATCCAGAGAGTTTGAAAGCCACCTTTAGGAGTTCAAAAGTCGTTATGCCTGAATATGTAGTGGGTCAAAAACTTAAAAAGGATAAAAAGAAAAAACAGGTAGAAAAGGGAAGGGAATTAAAGCTGGATCATCTTCTCGAGGATGAATAGTTTACAGTTACAGAATAAACCTATGTTACTAAGGAAATAATTATATTATATAATTTAAACCTTAAGACTTAAATGGCATTGTCATATAAAGTAAATTATTGTGATGCCTCTGTTATAATTTTGTACATAATGTTAATTTTTAATGATAGTAATAATATGTCTGTATCATTTAGTTGTTTAATATGTTCCTTTTTCCACATTTTTATAGTCTTTAGAAAAACTCAATAGTTGTTATAGAAAGAATTGAGAAGGGAACTAAGATTTAAGTAATGACCCATGCTGTTTTTCTGGAAAATCTAATTGGAACAGAATACATTACTTGACAAAAATAATGAAAGATTCCTATTAACAAAAATTGTGTAGATATGAAAATATAGAAAACCAAATATATCACAGATTAGCTTAATATGAAATATATACCAAGACAATGGCTCAGAAGGTACAGGGGTACAAACACAGATATGGACCATTATGTGATGATGGTAATAATGAAGAAAGAAAAATATGACAAGAGCAATATCATACAATAAGGGGAAAAGCAAACACCTGAGGAATCTAGAAGCTCTAAATAATCCAGAGGTTTAAACAGTATTACAAATAAGAAATAAATAAAGAAACAAGCAATATTGGAGTGGGTGAGAGTGTGACAAGTAATAAAGGATAGTATGATCAAGGATGTGTGGAAGTTAGATATTGAAAGAATGAAGAAAGGCTCAAATGGATGGAATCTGAAAAGCAAGATTAAACAGGTCTCTTTTTACACAGTAGGTACACAGTAAAAAGAGACAAGATGATTCAAGCATTAAATAAACTGACATACTAAAGAAACTATGAAAACGAACAACAATAACATGAGAAGAAACAAATGCAAGCAGTTTTAAGGAGCAACAACAAAGATTAATGAGTAAAGCAGTATTTATAAAGCTCATACATACAATTGCATATGCAGACAATTTACTCTTAGGAAAACTCAGTGTGACCAATAGAATTAATAAACTGGAGATTGAAGCATAAAGAATTTCAAATATGTAATCAAAAGGAGGACAAAATATTTGGGTATTTATTGTATCTTTAGTTACAGATACGAATTGTACTCGTATATATTCATTCTGTGTTGCTTATTTATCAACTTACAATGATCTCCAGTTCGGAAATCATTCCCTAAAAATTCATAATCATTCTCAAAAAAAATTTCCCTTATCATAGTTTATAAAAAATAATAGTCCAGTTATTTTCGAAAGTGTATTTTGGTGATTATATTGATCATAGTTTAATATAGATAGGTAC